GCCTGTCTGTACAATGTTTAATAGCTCACAAAACCACAGCCCCAAACCACGACATAGAGACAGTCACTTAATGGACCGTATCTTTTCTAAAACACCAATACAAACCCTTTCAAACTGAAATCGAACAATCGCCAAGATTCAACACACTCAGAATTACCAAAAAACCAAAGGTTTACAGTCTAAAGAACAAGATTCACAAAGAAGAAGAAAGGACAGAGAAACCAAGTCTCGAAGGAGAGAAGAAGAGACCCATAAGGTTCTATACACGAAGAGACACCAGAAGAATGAAAACCAATGGGCCAAAATATCTCAGACCAAGTAATATATAGGAATGATCATCACCGTAGATGTAGGTTTAAGAGATCTAATAGTCCAAAGCCACACACGTGTATCATAAGATTTTGGGCCACGTCGTAGCATATTTAAACATTGCATTATTAGGCAATGGGCTTGTAGCGGCTGTTCGATATAAGGATTTCATCATAGCCCAAATTGGACTGAACCAATAAAACAATTGGCATCATAGCCCAATAAGCTCAATGATATTATTCCCCCATCTTCAGTGATGTTTACAGATGACCACGAGACATGGAATGTTCAGTTATTCCAATCTACTAATGGTAGGACAGCTTTTGGATTCCCTGAAATGTCGTAAACAACTGCAAGATCAGGTCTTGTTAGTGGAAAGGATAATATAATTAACTGAATCATTTAAGATGCATACATTAATACTATACGTCGAGTGAAGAATTTTATATATGTTGAAAATCAGTATTTTCTTGGAAGCTGTTTTGGCTGGCATTGCAATAAGGCAGGGAAAGGTTTAGTCTATATTGTTGTCCGATGTGGCCTGAAGAGAATCCTGAAAGTGCATCGGTTTAGGCTATATTAGATTGATAAAGGAGGATAACAGAAATGATGTTTAATGATATCGTTCAGGTCTTGCAAGCTAAGGGCATTGAGGATAATCGGAGAAATTATTTGACTGATAGTTGTGAGACAAAGAAGAGTGGAGAGTATGAAGTATCAGAAAAAATCAAAAAATGATTAAGACTATCTTAAAGTTGAGGCTTAGCGTTTCATGATCTATATACATACCAAGATGATGATAGGTAAGCATTGGCTTTATAATGTAATTGCTATGAAATTGTTATATGCTAATGTGTTGATGATATTTTTCGTCTTTTGCAGTGGATGATGAATACATAATCATTGGATTAGCTAACATCAACTAAAGATCAATAGATGGCTCTCAAGGGATTTCGAGATAGTCATGGGAGCTAACCAACCATATTATTGGGCAACAAGGCAACCGGCAAGGGGTCAGATTCATAGTTTTTGTATGGCACTATGGAACGAACACCTTGGTCTGCTTGACAACACTTTCCACCGGCAGAAAAGCGAGGAATGTGTAACAAAGGTGAACCATATTGTTGACAAATACTAGGATCTCTACACTGGTGAAAATCTTGAACGGGATCTTTCCGGTCCCGCTTCACTGTCCCATTGGTAGATGTCAAAGAACTATCGGGATCGGAGTTTTCCCGAACATCAAAGCTCGTATTCTTGGTACTAAATCTGAGTCACCTTCTGCCAATCCTCACTACCTAATGAGGTATTATGATTGAATTTTCATTTCTAAAAAATACTAGTGTTTTTAGAGAATAAGGTGTGACATTAGATGAAAGTTGGTGACAATGTTTTTCGAGTTTAGAGATGTCCAAATAACTCGATGTTGTTAGGAGTATTAAATGGTTTGAAAGCTTGTTTTTCGAGATGTCTACGTTGATTTTATATAACATATGTTGCTTTTGAGTGAATTCTGATGTGATTGGATTAAGAAAGATTGATAAAATTAACAACTATCATATTCAATTCTGCATAAATAATTACTTATAGATTTGAAAATGAGTTTTAAAATTGATATTTAGGTTCTCTTTTTAACATTTTTTGAAAGGTTGAGCATGAATATGAACTCTAATCGAGGGATCCTCAAATTTGGTCCATAAGAAACTGAAAGTCAAATGACAATGTCCAAAATCCTAAATCAAAACGAAAAAAACTTGTCATCTATCAATCTTCACTTGACAAATGTATTTTGAACACATAATGCACATGAATTCTCGTGGTCCGCCACACACTTGTTAGTGCCCTATTGGAGAAAGTATATGAAAATTAGATCAAGTACATGGCGTCGTCTTGTGTAGATATGATTTTAGTTTAGGACACTTGGCTCATCCACAACAGGGTGGGTGAGAGATCACGTCAAAGAACCTTCTTAGGATATGTTAGCCATCCATTATTATAAGAAGAAAAAAGAAAAGTTATATGCCCATGTACTTACACGTGGGGGCTTATTTTTAAGTAGTCTCGTCCAATTCATCCAGGAATTCGAACGAACGAACGTACAAAAGCAGGACTCTGCCAAAAACCGTACATAAATCCAAATTGAGGGCATCGGAGCGATTTTTCGTCTCAAAAAATTAATTTTTTAACCGTTATTTCACTATTTCAACCGTCATATTTGACTTTTTCTCTTGCAAATGGATTCTACTTTTCTTTGAACAGTCAAAAAATCAATTATCAAAAGGGTCTGAGTCCAGCTTCGACTCATACACCAGATAAATCCAGTCTCTTACTACTATAAAACCTCTCCGAACGAATGAGCGAACGAGCAGGACTATAATCTGACCACTGCCAGAAACGGAACACAAATCCATATTGAGCCCTTCTTCTACTCATACACCAGATAAATCCAGACCCCTCCTCCTATAAAATAATCAAAATCCTCTCTTTTAAATAACCTCTACTAACAACGACTACAAAACCCCCTAGTTTTCATATAAAAAATACTCGCGCGCATTCCGATGTTGAGCTCACAAGGTCTGGTTTTGGCAACAGCCATGGCTGTCTCTGCAGGCACAATAATCGTCTTTGATCTTCTCAGAGAAAAGTATTTCCCTTCGACCCAATTTCCAAGAACTCATCCTCAGAAACAACTTCTCAAGTCTTGTTTATCTTCGGGTACGTAAATCTCGTAACACTGTAGAGTATAGTCTAGTACTGCCGGTTTGAAAATGCACTTTATTTTTTTTTTTTTCTTGATGTGGGTTTTGTTTATGGTGTATTTAGGGAGCAAGAATAGGCAGAAAAAGAAGAAGAAGAAGGTTCAATTTGCTGGTGATGTTAAAGATTCAATTGGGGATAGTGAAGTCTACAGGAAAAAACACAGAAATCATAGAGAATTTGTCCGATCCACTTCCTGTGGAACTGAAATTCTTGAATCGCAAGGAATGCCTGCAAATCATGTGGCTTTGTACAGTGGAATTCTCAAGAATCGTGTACAGAGAATGGAGAATTCATATTGATTGGCTTCTTTTGGCAAGAAAATTTGTAAAGGAGATTAGGAGGTGGAATCTTGGGCTACCGTTCACCATTGATTGTAATTGTTCAGAACTTGGTTAGAATCTTGTGTTTTGAGTCTTTTGACTTTTGGGGATTCCGTATTTTATGCTTTATGTGCAGGGTTCCATCAGAAATTATTAAATTTGCAGTTTTTTGTATGTAATCGAATTAGCTCCAAATGTTCTCCATTCATTTGGCTGAATTCTTGAAACATGGTTCGTTTCTCCATGAAGAAGTATACAGCTAAAAGAATGTTTTGTGTATACAAAAATTGAATTTAAAAATGGAAATAAAACACACGTTATCCCTCATTCATTCAAAATTAATTTTTATTTTATTTTAAAGTAGTCGATAAATTTGTTCATTCATTGCTCTTCGGCCGCTATTTAATAAATAACTCAAATTTTGGTTAATATTTTTATAATAAAATAAAAGTTTAACAATTAACAATTAACAATTAAATTAAGTGTGATTTGATTGTGAGCATGATATTTGTATGGAAAGAAAATTTTTGTATGGGTATTATTTATTAAGCCCTTGTTTGATCCATATTATTTTCATGAGAATGCATTTTTTTATAGTTTATTGGTGAAAAATGTATGGTTAAAAAATAAGGAAAATTTTTTATTTACGTGTAATATTATTTTATTGAAAAATATGTGATTGAAATTATGTCAAATTACTATTTAAGAATATATTTTTTGAAAAAATGTGTGTCAAATAGGGCCTTAAATGTGTTTGTTTGATTTTTTTTCAACCTTGGAAAATATTACACTTGTACATTTTTTATTGATGAGTAGATGATAGAATGTGTGAATTACCTGAAAAATAAATATTTTTCTAAAGAAAATATTTTTTTTTATTTTTGAAAAAAATATGGTCACATGATGAAAAATCGAAAAATATTTTTTCATGAAAAGAATTGTCAATCAAACAATCCAAAAATTAGAATTTGAATAGAAAAATGACATTTTTCATGAAAAATAAAGTTAATTAAACAAACACTAAGATTTAAGTCGAGCGAGTCACCAATGTTATAAGGATCGCGTCAAAGTGGCCATCTCAATCCAGAAAAATAGGAGCCAATAGAAATCTTATCAAATTATAGCCTCGTTTGATCCCCCATTATTTGAAATTTTAACGGTTGAAATAGTGTTTTTTTTTTTAATGTGTGGATAAAAAAGAAATTTTTAGGAATTACTTGTAATATTATTTTATTAGAGAAAATGTGGTGGGAGAAAAAAATGAATTATAATTTTAATGGGAGTCAAACGGGGCCATAGTAGACAATCGACCTCAAAACCAACCAATTCACTTCAAATTTTATGTTTTTTCATTTATTGAAATGGTAATTAGCACAAAAACATATGTATCTTTCAATGTTATTATAAACAATGTTCATACTTTTCAATTTTTTGACATTTTTACCCTTATTTTTATATTTCATTCATTTTCTCAATAAATATGTAAAATGACAAATATATCCTCATATTTAAATACAACAAAAAAAGAGTGAAAAAGAACAAATTGCAATTATACTCTCGAACTACTTAAAAAATTGCAAATAAGTTCGAGTAAATTATTATAACCCCGTTTGTTTCTTATTTTTTTAATAAGAATGCATTTTGAAATATATTTTTTTTGTAATATTATTTTATTGAAAAATATATGATTGAAAAGAATAGAGAGAAAAATGTATTTTGAGAAAAATGGATATCAAACAAGGGATAAAAGTGTAATTAGCACAACCTTTTAGAGTTATGCTACGAATACGTCAGAGATGTATACAATACTTTACACCCCTTTCATATGAGGGGATGTCAATGTGTGTGTACATGGAAAGTGTACACACAGCATAATCCTATCCTTTAATATTATTGTGCAAATCTTTTCACCTTTCATCATTTTCGTCTTTATTTTCACATTCCATCGTGGTCCGATCCAATTACATTAATTGTTCAAACCAACAAGTGAATTGATCAAGAATTGGTTAGACTATTCAATAATAGTCTAGATCAGACGGGTTTAAGGGAAAATCAAAAACCGGTTCAAACGTGAACCCAATGATGGCAAAGTGTAGCGCAAATTTTTTTCTTCAATTTGGCATGGCAAGGGTTCGAACCTTGACGTCAAGAAAGCAATTTGACTCTTTTGACCATTATGG